TCTATGTTTTCAAGAAACAACATGATTGCTCTAGGTTATAATTTGTTATAAAAGAAGTCTGAAGTTCAATAAAACCCTGTTAAATCATAGGGGCTTGGGGGTATTTGGCAGGTTGGTTTTTCCAAGAATAGACAGGCCACAATACTGTCTCTCTTTCAAAATCAACTGCAGTCTTAATTTGCTTTGCAGGACCATGTGATTCGAGAGGAAGCCAGAAGCCTGACCCTGAGGCAGTGTGCAATAATGGAAGTGGCACTAGCTACTATAAAGGTACCGCTTTACATGTTTCTGTTCTGTGTTCATGACTGAGAACATGATTGACATAAACAACAGAGTCTTACATAGAATGGTCCCTTAGAATCATAAAGATCCCTTTAATGTGTCAAGAACCATTTGATCCTAAGCTCCTTGGATGGAATTGAAAGCAAACGTCTAATAGTCTTGCAGAAAGGTTAGAAAAATTATTCTCAATTGCAGAGACACCATGGTCTGTTAAAGGAATTAGTGGCCAAAGCGTGTCTGATTCTTGTGTTTCTTTACAGTTTTAGAGTTAGAGCAAATGAAGCAGCTGGGCTAAATGCTTATGTTGCAGCATAGCCTCCTTTCCCCCCAAAGGAGACACTGAGCCTGAAACGTTTCTAGGTGCACTCTCCTGCAAACATGTACAACACGGGGGTTTGTTACAGCACATCCGAAAACAAGGCTTTTAATACCATGCATTTTAAATGGTATTAGTGCACTATTTCAAATTCAATGTCCAGTTGAATTTATCAACTTTTTACAGTTTGGAATTCACCACCTAATTTAATGTCACTCCTAAATAATTTGATTTAATTAATTATTCTACACATTGGTCCCTTTTTAGTGAAAACAAAAAATTTACTTTCATCACACACCTGTTAAAAACACTTCCAAGTAAATTACTTTTTATGCATTACTAGCATCTTGTTGATGCAAATGTTGGTAATGCATAAAACTACTTTAGAAAAATCTTAGCATTACAGTAAATGCTTTACATTATATTTTTGAAGGAGCCATAGTAGAGACAATCCATCCAACTTTACCTGGTGCTAATCTCATTACTAGAAATACAAATTAATTTATTGGTAATTGATAAAGTAACTCAAAGATTTGACCTCTCTTGAAGGATGAAAGGGCCAGATGAAATGTTCTGAAAACTTTGTTTTAACTTCCACTCATCTTATGGCTATTGCATTATGCTCCTAAATGGTAGAGATTAACAAAGTCGTTTGTTGGGGTTTGTTGGGTTTTTTTTTTTTTTTT